GGCTGCGATGACAGCCGTTAATCGCTGTAGTTTGTCACTGCCCATGTGTCGAGCCCTTTACTCTCTGGCGCTCAAGAGGTAGAGGAGCCAAATGTCTGGCTCACTGCTGCCAACTAGTGGTCAGAGGCTGAACTACAACATTAAAATGAACGGTTGGCAAGAAGGTTGACATTTTGAACCTTAATTAAAAATCAATACAGGGCTTTAGAATATCGATACAGTATTGGGAAATGAAATATCGCAATATTTCAGTGTATCGATATTTTCTTACACCCCTAAACTGCAGGGCACCTATATATTTAACAAAGCAAAGCTTTGCAGATAATTTACTCACTTTTACATCAAACGGCATAAATCACATGATTATTTTCAGATGATGCCACTAAAATACAGAGTTGATAATTTTTACCTGTAATATAAAGGTTAGGATACCAAGGACGTGTTAAGGAGAGTTGTATTATCTCTCAGATTGGTCACAATGCTGTGCTTGGTTCAGCAGTTTCTGTGTTGTGGAGTTGTATTTCAGGACTACAAAGTGCTTYACATGGTGATTTTTATGCTCCAACCGCCTTCCTATAAGAGATCACTCAGATAGGTGCGGATGTTGTTGCAAGAAATCACTTTCAGATTACATCTTCACTCCTGTCTCATTGGCTGTAGCTTCTGTGTCTTTTCTCATTTCTCATTCTGTATTTAGGTGTTAATAACCTCTGTTTTGTTTACAGTCAGAACCTATATTGTCAGGATTGAATTATCATTGTTCTACCCAAACATTTAAAGGAACACTTCTTACCGAAATTACTTTTTTTTGTTTTATGTGTTGTAAAGTTTTGGTTTTATCTGTTTGACACTTATTGGTTGTTTGAAATGTTAATATATGTTTTTATGTATTTTCTCCTCCAGGTATTACACAGTGTAGGTTTTAATTTGAGCCACAGCCAGGGACTTGACCAGGAAGAGCAGTTTCCATCAGCTTGTCTGCAGCCCCCTACCTACCCCAACAGTCTTCTGCCCCAGCATGAATGAAGTCAGTGTTGTTAGAGAGGGATGGCTCCAAAAGAGAGGTGAGAGGCCCTTTGTATTCAACATCCATCACGTGAATGTCCAGCAATCATTTTAGTCAAAATCCTTATTTCGCGTGTTTAAATAATCTGCTCTAAACTCAAAGGGCAGATGTTATGGTTTTAGTTGCATGACTAGTAGAGTAGTGCAGCATAATAAGTCGTTGATGCTCAGTGTTGTGCTGGAAATTGGAGTGATTATTTGTAGAAAAGCCACATGTTTAAACCCTGAAGCTAAGTCTCTGTCTGTATCCAGGTGAATACATCAAAACATGGCGGCCTCGTTACTTCATCCTAAAGAGCGATGGGTCCTTTATCGGATACAAAGACAAGCCTGAGGTGTCCAGTGACCTCAGCCAGCCGCCACTCAATAACTTCTCTGTCGCAGGTCAGTTCCTTTCCTGCCTGAATGTCGTGTGTTTTTTTAAGCTGCCATCATGAGGACCTTTCAGTGTTAAGCAACATGTCGGTGCTTCGTAGAGTGCCAGCTGATGAAGACGGAACGCCCCAGACCCAACACGTTCGTCATCCGGTGTCTGCAGTGGACCTCGGTTATTGAGCGGACCTTTCACGTAGACACCAAGGAGGAGAGGTAAACGATTGGTTTTCTGTCATAAAAGTAATCTCAAAGAAAGAGAAAACAGTTGGAGATGTTTATAGCATCTTAAAATTAAATTAGATGCACATGTAAATATTAACTCTTGGATTGTTTTTGCATTTCAAAATATTTGTAAGAGTTTTTCTACACTCAAATATCAGAAAGCTAAATTTAAGYTTGTTTAGAAGAGATAAACGAAAGCAAAAGTTGAATCATTATGCAAACAAGTCGAAATTGTACCTGCAGTGTTTTTATTTATTGGGATTTAAATATTTGTTCCACATACAGCAGACAGCATTTCCACCTTATATTCAGAATCAGAAAACCCTTCTGTGCACATAGTATTTGGTATCCAAACAAAAAGCCCAAAGAATCTAAGCAAGATGACAAACATTCAGAGATAATAATTTAAGAACAAATAATTAAGTTGTGAAGAAAAAAAACAGCACTCAGGTGGTTCAAAATTACAAGGAAGATGTTGAACAAAACATGGTTTCCTGCTAAACGTGTCTTAAAAGCACAGCCACAATCAATAGCTGTCYCACACATTTGATCCATCATCTAAAATGTCATAAACCACAAAACAATAAATGCTTTAAACCAGTGGTTCCCAGAGTTTGGTTTTGGACCCCTCTGTGGGTCATGAAACATCAAGTGATGGTCCCCAGACGATCTCCAGATATCACTTTAAAGCAAATACATTGCTAATGGAATATTTTCACCATAATTATTGCTAAAAAATAATAACCCAATAATCATATAATGCTGGTGTTAAGAGTTATTTGAAAAGTTTGCATGCAGAATGTGTGAAAGATTCTGCCCAGAGACTTAAAAKGTTTGAAAACAACTGCTCTAAACCAGAGATTCTTAACCCTCGGGCCACGACCGCCACCTTGAAGGCTCTAAAACAAAAATCTGTTTCTCAACTGTGGGTCAGGAGCGTCACGAGATGTCATTGGTTTTTAACTGCCTGAGTTGAAATACACTTTCTCACCACTAGTAGCAGTAGCGCGCCACGCCAATGTTTAACAACCTTTTTTTATATGTAGAAGAAGAGCCTTAGCCTGATGCTAGCAATAGTTAAAAATGGAAGCATTTTAAACAAAAAGTTGAAATCAAAAAATTGAGAATACTAGCTAAAAAGACCAAAATTGGATGTAAGTATAATACAAACTGTTGTTAGCCATGAGACCAGCTATTCAACAATGCACTGAAGCCCTCCAAACTCAAACAGCATATAGAGTTGTCATAAATATGAAGAGCAGCTTCTGGTAAAAAAGTATACATTTTTTTATGTTAATGCGCATTTGTGGTGGTGGGGGTTATTTAATTGTGTAAAAGTTCCGGGAAATGTGATTAATTTAWTCTTTAGTTGCTGAGGCTGTCAGTGTGAGGGGTGGAGTTGGGATGCTGTTTGTTTTTGTAAACAAGATTTTAGCTCTTAACTCTTTTTTTTTTTCACAACCGGAAGTTTAACAGCTCAGAATGGAGAGCCAAACAGTAGGGCAAGTTGTCTTTTTTTTTTTTTTGTAGTTTTTCTTTCATTAGATTCTCAGACTATGATGATCTCAGATAAAGTTCATCTCAAAGACTAGCTGTAAGTTACTGTTCTACCTTTTAATAAATACCATACCATACTACACTGTACCATACCACTTTTATTTATAAAACACTTTAAACGGCACAAGGCCAACCAAAGTTCTGTACAAGAGACCGACACAACAGAACATAGTTTAAATTACAGAAGATAAAAAAAATTGTTTTTATTAATCCTCAGTATTTAGAAAAATGGCTAAAAAAGCATCGTTTGCATTCTTTCTTTTTCTAAATTTTCTGGGAGGTTTGCACCCGGACCCTCCTAGGATCACTTTGTGTTGCTGGCGCACAATAAAATGTTTAGCTTTTCCATTGTCACCACCAAATATTGGCAAGTATGTCAATGTTTGTCATAATCCTGTCTTATGGTATTAGACAAGGTCTTTGCTTGTCAAACTGTAAGTGCGTTTAATTTACCGGTAGTTATAATGCAAACAAAATACAAATTAAACCAAGATTTAGATCAGTTATTACTTTAATCAGTACATTGTTKATGTCTGAATGGTCCTCGTGCCACTTTAGAGTTAACAAGTTGGGCTCAAAATGTTTAAGAACCCCTGCTTTAAACAACACAAACCACCTTCAGAGATAATAAATGATAAAGTACAAAACTCTGACAAATATCAACCAGCGTCAGAACTCTTCTACAGTATTATACCATGTGAGTGCAGCTGTGACTGACATCTTGTTTTCCAGCCATGAGCACATCTACAGCTGTCTCCCTTCATTCCTCCTTCTTTTTTAGAGTCTGAATCTAATAATAGGAGCATTAKTGCTTCTAATATTAATCCTGCTTCCATTAAAGCTTACCTTTCTGACACAGGTGACTTACAAGATTTTATAAAGTCGAGCTCACACAGAGTCACAGTGTAAGTCCTTTATGATGTTTCAGCAAGAGCTGGACTGTAATTTGCAAAATTAGCCTCGTACATCAATAAACATGCAAATATCCACAGAAACAAAACACATCTTTAAAGCCATAGCTCCGGTTAGTGTCGTAGACACAGCCAGCATGGAAAAACATCTCATTTAAACACTTGATTCAGTGAAGGACCTGCCTGGTTTGTTTGTCCTCTGACAGAAAGCACGGTCAGTGTTTGGTATTTCAGTGAGAGGAGAGGTGGCTCGCTGGTAAACAAGGATGTTTACCATTTCATTGTTTAGTGGTTTCACATTTGCATCCCATGACTTCTGCTTCTGTCATTTTCACACATTTTCACCATATGTTAAAAAGCGTGATTAATAGGAGTTATATTTATACTTTAATTTACACAGGTTTAACATCTTGTTACAAGTTAAATGCCCTGGAAAATTGAGCCACAAAAAGAAAACCTGCCTGACAACTTAAAAGCACAGCTTCCTCAGTCAAAGCAAAAAACAATTTCATTTAGATTTTCCTCTTTTGGAAAAAAGGAAAGCAATAGAAGAGTGCGTTAGAATAGATAATGATGTGTTTCATGCCTAAAGCAGATGTTAAAATTTCAAAATGATTAATTTTGGTTGCATTAAAGCCCCAGAATATGAGTTTTATGTCATTATTCCCAGCTCTTTTGGATAGTAAACTTATTTTTTAAATGCTGCAATTGAAAACATTGCTGTTGAAAAACACATGGTCATGTTTTTAAATTTAACAACTTAGTTTGAACATATTTGAATGACATACATTTGAACTTATACCTTACGCTCTCAGGGATTTTTTTTAGGAAACTGAAATTTTAATTTAGGCACGAGCTGCTAAAATCAGTTTAACTATTGAAGAGCAGGCTTAAAAGCAGTAAGGGTAAAAAGGCACAGGGTACACATAGTTACAGAGGACATCCAGAGGCCAAATATGGGGAAAATAATTTGGTTTATAAGAATAAGAGCAGCCACCAGCTCAGATTAGACATGATTACTCACCTCTAACCCAAGAAACCGTCACTGACTTTTGTTTACGTCGGCTCTGCCAAGTCCCAAATCCCAGAAGCCCCCTGCAGTGAGTACACAGATTATCCTCTACACGCTAAACACAGCTTAAAACTTTCTATTAATGTGTACTTTTAAACGGTAGCTTGTACAACTGAATGTAAAGCCTATGTTCGCAAAAAATGATCGTTTTTTTCAGTGAAACCTTGCTGCTTTGGCCTTTCACAGACCTTTCCATTCAGGATTATTTAGACATGACATTAGATATGATAAGGTCACTGTGTGCTTCCTTCTGGGCCAGGGAGGAATGGATGAGAGCGATCCAGGCAGTGACAAACAGCCTGAAGAGTCAGCAGCAGGACGAGGAACCCATGGAGATCAAATTTGGCTCGCCGAGCGACAGCAGCGGCGCAGAGGAGATGGAGATCGCTGTGTCTAAATCCCGTTCAAAAGTGGTCAGTATTTGCAGAGGCAGCGCCGGGCAGCTGAGTGCGTGCTGTTTGTCCAGCTAAGCTCATCTTTATTGAGCAAGTTGTTCAAACTTTAAGCCTCTTTCTCAAAGCTTTGTGCAGGGATGGGGGGGACCCTTTTTAAATTAAGGAACAACATTATTTGTGCTTTTTTTTTTTTTTGCACTGAGATGCATCTAATGCAGTGCTGGAGTTTGTTGGGGTTTTTGTTTTGGTTGTTTTTTGATTCTTTCTTTTCTCAAGCCTTTATTGAAATGATCTGAAAATAAGTCCTTCCGTACACGAGCCCTTCTTTATTTACCAACGGCAGATCTAATCTCATGAAAATATATCTTTCAGCAGTAGTCTAATCTGCAGTTATTTCTCCTGCAGACCATGATTGATTTTGACTACTTGAAGCTGTTGGGCAAAGGGACTTTTGGCAAAGTGATCCTGGTGAAGGAGAAAGCCACGGGGATGTACTACGCCATGAAAATCCTTCGCAAAGAAGTCATCATTGCTAAAGTTCGTGCCAACACGTGTCTTTAAAGTCTTCAAGTAAAACTGCTGCAGTTTTACTCCAGGTTGTTTGTGGTGTGTGTGCTAAATGTGTGTGTGTGTGTTCCTGCAGGATGAGGTGGCACACACAGTCACAGAGAGCAGAGTTCTCCAAAACACGAGACATCCCTTCCTAACGGTGGGTCTCTGGTACTTTTTACTTGTTTTACCTGAAGAGTTTATGTAATTCCTATGAAGCAGTCACTTTTTTTTCTTCTTTTGTCTTTTGCAGACACTAAAYTATGCATTTCAAACAAACGACCGGTTATGCTTTGTGATGGAGTACGCAAATGGAGGAGAAGTGAGTTTTCCTTTTTTTGTTTCCCGGCTTGATGTTTTGTCATATTTTTGTTGTACTTTCTTWAAAAAAAAGGCTGATTGTAAGTTCAGAGGTGCCAACCATTACGATCTCACTGTAATCATTACGATATTGAGACCCGCTCTGAACCATTTACTAGACATTTATTACGATCTGGCCTTGTGCCGAGCTGCTGGGAACCCCCTCCCGCTGCAGCAGCATTTTTCCACCTGCGCAGTTCAGATTGGCTCCACCCCACTCCGCARCCTGTAGCTCCCGCCCGCTTTTCGGCCCACTTTCGGCCCACTCAGACCTCTTGAGGTAGTACTGAGGCCGCCCGGCACRGTTTGGGGCGTGGAGGTGCTGAAGCGTGTAGCAGTCGCGGRGCACTGAGAAAAGCTAAAAATATATTGAGCCGGTTTTCAGAGCAGTGAAGGACCACAACAACAGCGGGAGTGGCTCAAAGCCGTGGGACTAGAGCTGCTGTGGGTAAATGGAGGGGATGGCTTTTTACAGCCGCCGGTTAGTTAGTTAGCTGCTGCTAACTGTAGACTGGACTCTTCACAAACTTCATCTGCCGACAGTGAGTGCTTCGTGCATTTAGTGAGATATTGAACGTAATTTATGGGACACATGTTTCGCTTGTGAAACTGTACCTTTTATTTATAAAGTTTGTTCCGATGTGTCCTTTGTGCGTGTTCGTTTCCAATGCTAACTAGTTAGCAGCTAGCGGCTATCACTATTTAGCGATCGAGACTAAAAACAYCAACAGCCCCAGCTCTTCATTTATTGTAATTAGTAATTAATTTTAACCGTAGTGAGCAGCGGAGGAGCTGTGTGTGTGTGTTTGTGTGCATGCTTGATAGGAAGACGTCAGTGCGGTGCAGTGTTGTTGTTGTTTTTTTTGTTGTTGTTTTTTTTGATACGATGCAGCAGCCATTGAACTGCGGAGGATTAATCTACAGATTTTACGGAGGGAATATTAAAAATGACACAAAAAAGCGACTGTATAATTTGTTCAAAAATATTTAACCGCCACAGAATAACTAAAGTGAGCTAATTCAGTTGTTTTGTTTGATACGAGGCAGCAGGRGTCTGTCCCACAATAAATACGTCGCGGTCCAGTTCAGCCCAGCTGCGGGTTCATTTATGAACGCATTCATGTGAGCGGGACCAGCCCGCCTTCACCTGTGGTCTTATGAATGACTTAGGGAGGTTTAAAGCCAGACTGGTCTGTGCGGCAATTGCGCGAATTTGACTTATGAAAGGGGAAATTTATTCACACTCCTAGGCATAAGTGTGCGGTAACTGTAATTTCATTTATTAGAAAATCATTTTGGTTTTGTTTTACTGTATTTATAAGCAACAGTTTGCTGTAGCAGGGTATGAGTATTATTTACAGACTGTAAATATCAMACTTTTTATGTCAAAAGTTAGTTTTAGCACAGAATGAGCAAGATAAACAGCAGCTACTTTTTAAAGACGACTCCGAACCAGCCCGAACTGAGCCGAGAGGAGCCGGACTCAGTAGTGGAAAAGACTATTCATCTGTTATTATTTTTAAAAGACAAATATAGTTTCCTCCTTATTCAGTTTAAATAATGTGCCAAGAATTCCCTGTGACTACAAATTCATCTTCAGCTGTTGAGTCTGATTATAAAAGGGTGAATGAATAAAGGAGGCCCAGTAATAGGATAAATGTATGTGCTGTTTAGCAAAGTTATGTTCATAAAGCACCCATTTTATGAACTCTCTTTTATCACTTGTTACTTATAATCTCTCCATCTAGAAATAAGTAGGTTTGTATGAATACTTTGAAGTTTAAAGATATAAATTCCATATATTTTTTTATTATGTGCACAAACTGCCAATAATGAACGCACGCTGCGCGACACAAGTGCTCTGAGACGACAATCATTATGATTTGGGATGACTCCAGGTTGGCACCTCTGCTACTCTGTTTCTAATAAAACAAACACACATCTGGGTGCATATAGACCAAATTCAACATGTAAGAAAAAGGTCTGATAAATTCTTTATATTTTTGTCCTCTTGCAGCTCTTCTTTCACTTATCCCGGGACAGAGTATTCACTGAAGATAGAGCACGATTCTATGGTGCAGAAATAGTGTCAGCACTGGAGTACCTACATTCACGCAATGTCGTTTACAGGGACTTAAAGGTAAACGCTTTTATTTATTCGAAGTGTCGACCAAAATTTTGGTGTGAGGCTTTAGATCAGTGCTGAGTTTTAAAAAGGAGTTCAGCCCTGGCCTTTAGGTTTAACTTTAAAGAATTGTTTATGGCTTTCAGGAGTTGTTTTTAATTTTTTTGCTGCGGCTCTAAACTGATTTTGTTTCCTAACTAATCTGTTTTTCTGTGCAGCTCGAGAACCTCATGTTAGACAAAGATGGTCACATAAAGATAACAGACTTTGGGCTGTGTAAAGAGGGCATCACCGACGGCGCCACCATGAAAACCTTCTGTGGAACTCCAGAGTACCTGGCACCAGAGGTAAATCCATACCATCGTTTAGTTGTGGAGACATCGGTCACCATGAGAGCAGAAAAAGACCTTACCAGGTCTACTTGAAATTGAATTTCTTTGACCTCCTGTGGGTTTATTGTTTTTTAACCTCGGCCTCGTCAGGTGCTGGAGGACAATGATTATGGACGTGCAGTAGACTGGTGGGGACTGGGAGTGGTGATGTATGAGATGATGTGCGGCCGGTTGCCGTTCTACAACCAGGACCACGAGCGCCTGTTTGAGCTCATCCTGATGGAGGAGATCCGTTTCCCAAAGAGCCTGGCCCCAGAAGGCAAGGCCCTGCTGGCAGGCCTGCTTAAAAAAGATCCCAAACAAAGGTGCGTGGACTTCTGTATCGCAACAAGGGTTTTCTAAACTGTACCAGAAATGTTTTCACGAGTTTTTTTTTTCTGAATATTGTGATGTAGTGCAGCAAAGAGTTACGTTTTTTAAAGGTTGAGAATTAAAAAAAAACATTAACATTATCTGATGGTGGTTGTTAACCTTTAGAAAATCTTATGGGGAAAATAATCAACCTTTATTTTTGTGTTTTTATTTATTTTTTGTATATTTTGTTGATGCTATCAATAAACAAACACCCCTGGCAAAGCATAAAAATATTTCCAAAATCTTTTTATTTTGTCAAGATTGATTCAAATTCTTCCATAAATCCCCAATAACTTTACCTCTTCTATTGAAATCTAGCCTGGCCCTTACCTTCCCACGCAGCTCCACTCAATTCTAGTTTCCCTTCTCTGCTCCGTCTGGAACTTCTCCCACAGAAAAGGATTTCACTGGCAGATTTTTAGCCGAACCAATCAGAGATCAGAACATTGATTTTCTGTGCAGTGTCAGCATGTAGTTTATTTTACCTGGGCCAATCAGAGAACAGAA